TTTAAAGGGATTTCAGGTACCTTCCTACGCAAAAAAAACACAAGCTCTTTATCTACACTGAAGTCGGGCTGAGCGTTCCCCTAATGTTCTTCTAAGGTTCTATTAATGTTTCATGACGAACCGACCACGATCAAACGTCATTATTATTATTATTATTATAACGGCACTGACCTTGGAGATTAAAAAGTTTCATTAGAAAAGCACTTCACTGGATACACAACGATGAAGTTACAATAAAGAAACGACGCTCATTCCACTTACAAAACTACCATAGGGGTTTCCAATTGACGGATATGATGGATTCTGATTGGCAGTTCATTTCCCCAATGATCGATCTTGAATATAGGTCAAAGACAAAAAGAGGTCAAAAATGATACAAGCCAGATTTACTAAACGGCACAATCCACTAAATGCGAATGCACAAATCAAACAAGACGCTTTAATATTGTCTTAATGCAGCAAGTTAGGTTACCTGATGTACACTTGCTGAACAGAAAAACAACATGAGCTTCATACGCCAACCTGATTTCAGCAAGTAGGACATGATCCTGGATTAACATCTGTGTTGATCCTGGAACAACATTCCGATCAGCCAATCAAAATTAAGGGATACGTTTACCGTTTTATGTTAAGTTTATTGTTAGAACTAATATTCCCCTCTGATTTTGAGAATATATTACATATTGGTTGGGTTTAGGTGTTAATCCTAAAGATAGATGTTAATCCAGGATGACATCGTATTTGGCAAAATCATGACGTGTGGGGTTCATATGTTGTGCAATCACCTTAAAATCACATGTGAAATGCATATAAAACTACTGAGAGAATAACACAGGCACAAAATGGCCATAAAATAATGCAAATACCGGTAAACTGAATGCCACTGTATAAATACTGTATGGCATTGGAATGTAATACTCTTGTTTGTCTGCGACAAATGCTTCATTTGAACATATTTAATAGTCACACAAATCAACATTAATGATTCTGTACGCAAGCTGTTAGTAAATCTGGCCCTAAAAGAGTAATACTACCATGGCTGAGAGAACTTAACATGCTGGAATTTTTAGAAAACACGCGCCACTACGAAAAAGTAAGCAAATTAAGAAAAGTTCTTTATCCATTTGACAGCACACATGCTGCAAATCCTCACAACACATATACATTTTTAAAAACGCGCTTCATTTTCTCACAACGGAAACAATAAAAAAAAAAACGTGCTGCATTTTCACACAATGCAAACAATTTACGAAAACACGCTGCATTTCCAGACAATGCAAACAATTTATTAAACTGCGCTGCATTTTCACACAACGCAAACAATTTATTAAACTGCGCTGCATTTTCACATAATGCAAACAATTTACGAAAACACGATGCGTTTCCAGAAAACGCAACCAATTTAATAAAACGCTCTGCATTTCTACACAACACAAACAATTAATAAAACACTGCATTTTCACAAAACGAATACAATTTCATAAAACACACATTTTCTCAAAACGCAAACAATTTAATAAAATATGCTGCATTTTCGCACAACGGAAACAATTTACGAAAATGCGCTGCATTTTCACACAACGCAAACAATTTAATAAAACAAGCTGCGTTTTCTCACAATATTTGCAAAAACACCAGAACGTAAATTTTACAAGTGGACCCAAAGACGTGATGGACATCCCTGTGCAGTGACTAATGCTCTGTAAAGTTTTTGGTGATCTTTGAAAAGTGAATTTTTCAAAGATCACCAAAGCATTTGTGTGAAAATGCTGCGCGTTTTTGTAAATTGTTTGCGTTTGTGTGAAAATGCTGCGCGTTTTTTAAATTGTTTGCGTTTGTGTGAAAATGCTGCGCGTTTTTTAAATTGTTTGCGTTTGTGTGAAAATGCAGTGCGTTTTTGTAAATTGTTTGTGTTTGTGTGAAAATGCAGTGCGTTTTTGTACATTGTTTGCGTTTGTGTGAAAATACAGCGAGTTTTTGTAAATTATTTGCGTTGTGTGAAAATGCAGTGCGTTTTTGAAAATTGTTTGCGTTTGTGTGAAAATGCAGCGAGTTTTTGAAAATTATTTGCGTTGTGTGAAAATGCAGTGCGTTTTTGTACATTGTTTGTGTTTGTGTGAAAATGCAGTGCGTTTTTGTAAATTGTTTGCGTTGTATGAAAATGCAGTGCGTTTTTAAAAAATGGATTTGCGTTGAGAGGATTTGCAGCAGGTGTGCTGTCAAACAGATGAAGATCTTTTCTTAATATGTTGTTGTTTTTTATAATCGCATGTGTTTTCTTAAACTGCAGCACGTTAAGCTCTCTCGGCCACCGTATAATACAGCTTTATCTTGATTTACAGAAGTTGGCCACTAAAATGTCATCCATCGTAACAATATTTTAGTTAAATGTTTACACTTTGTCACTATTCTTCAAACCACATGGTTTTTTCCTCATTTGTCGGCAATAAGCTTTCACCGATTTAAAATATTGAGCATTATCACATTAATAAGTTATAACAAGTACAGTCCGCTGTTTGATTGTTACATTAATCTATCGGTCACATTGAATCTCAATAGAAAATTTCACCCTAGTTTTGACTTTTCGCCCCACAAATGCTATTTGGAACACAGACGCTTCAATTGTATTTATGCAAATAGAACATCTCATCTTTGACCCATATATGATCCATATATGTGCAACATAATACCAACGTTCAGACATGGTAATAATGGAAAAATCACAGTATCATTGGATCATGAAAGCCACCTGAAACGTTCTATATCACAGCACCAGCACAATCCGTTCTCATAAGAGCCCTGATTTCCAGCTCCCAACCTTCTGTTTTCCATTTCCTCTGGTCTCCTGTCGTCTTTCTATCCTCTAGCTCTTCCCTGGGGCTTTGCATTGCTGGACTCAGCAGTCATTCGTATGAATGATGCCAGTTATAGAGTGACAGCTGTAATTTTCCGCTCGCAACCGGCCCAAATTACTGTACACACACAATAATGAGCATCGGGGGAACTCAAGTCCCTATATGCGCCAAAGGTTGAGCCAGATTTTGGTTTCAGAGACTGAACCGTACGTTTACAAACACACGCTGGCCGTCTTGTAGATTACATGATGACTAACACAGAGCCTCTTTTTACGCACGGTGAGTTACGACATCGACGAAGAGCCTCACAAGAAACGTTACCGACAATAGACTCGGATGGAGGTATCGACTACGTTCCTCAACTACTTTTCCGAGAATTACGTGAGAAGCACCACACCAGCACTGCTGTGCTATACGATTCACCATTTAATGTGCACGAAGTTTAACGCAACAAAGGAACGAAAACCTAAAAATGCACAGGATCACAATAATAGTTTTAGAACGTTGGAAGAAATGTCTCACATCTTCACTGATAAAGGGTGCGCTACGCCTTTAAAAGGTCGTAAAATGATTCACAATTGTAGCTAATGTCTTATCGTTAGTCTTACAAAACTTGGTAGCATCAAAACATCGTAGGTTTTTTTTTTTTACAAATCGACGTTTGCACCTGAGATTTGATTTCTCAAAATACCTGTACTGGTCATTAGCTTTGCTAAACGATTGACGGTCTGCTCCGACTGACTAGTTAAAATAGAAAATTTCTCGTGTCAATGTGCCTGAAGGCAAGTTCTCGCTCTAAACGTGGGATTAGACCAAGTTTAAAAGGACAACTTTGCGATTGTTTTAATGCCACCTATACTTCGCATTTCTCTCTCTCTCTCTCTCTTGTAAAAACACAGGGTTGGAAGTATATCACAAATTCGTCTAAATACAGAAACAGGAAAGCACATCGGAAAAAGAGAAGACAGGTGTAGTACGCTAGACGACATTTATGATTTGTGTCGGAATTAGCAACATTCTTGTTTAAGGCCTATTCGTTATAAGAAAGGATAATGACAACCACATTCACGTCCACACCAATGCACAGTACTGGATTCTGATTGGCTGCCAACCTGCTGATGAAACAATTGTTGTAGAATTGGGGTGTTTATTAAAACGTCACAGTTAGCTATGGCTAATGGTAACTTTTTAAGTATGCAAGCATCAATTTTACAGCTAGGCGATTATTCGAAGATGGTTTTCATGCACATTTTGTCAGTACAGCCGGTTGTTGTAAACTTCTAGCATGTACTTTCAGATGGAGCAGCTGACAAGCTACTCAAAAAAGGGTTAAACAATTAAATAAGCTTTAATTGGTCGATAATTGTTGTTTGCGTCGTTTGCGTAGCTTCTCAGTGAACTACGGCTCTGTGTAGCAAATGCTACATGTGAAATTACCACATATTATAACGTTTTAGGTGGCGCAGTGGGTAGTGCTGTCACCTCACAGCAAGAATGTCGCTGGTTTGAGTCACAGCTGGGTCAGTTGACATTTCTGTGTGGAGTTTGCATGTTCTCCCCGTGATCACGTAGGTTTCCTCGGGGGCTCCAGTTTCCCCCACAAGTCCAAAGACCTGTGCTATAGGGGAATTGGGTAAGCTAAATACCCAGTGTATGTGTGTGAATGAGAGTGTATGGGTGTTTCCCAGTGATGGGTTGCAGCTGCTGCGTAGAACATATGCTGAATAAGTTGGCGATTTATTTCGCTGTGGTGACCTGATTAATAAAGGGACTCAGCCAAAATTAATGATTAACGTTTTACTCCGAACTCACTTCGTAACTTTAGTCGAGTGTTTGTAATAATTCCTTATGTCAGACGATTTCATAGTTGTGTGTTTATCAGTCATGCTGAATCAATGAAAACACTTCAATCTATTGTTCACTCTTATTTGTTCATTATTTGGGTGTTTGAAACTTCCTTGAGAGCGCCCTCTGGCCTTTAGCGGAGAATTACAGCTAATTAAGCAACCGTGCTTCCCTGACAAGATGTGCATGACAATAGTAGCCTTGCTCAATTGCGTTTGCGATTTTGTTACAATTATTCGCCCAGCCCTAATCAATACCCACAGATATTGGTTTATCCTTCATATGCTTGTTGTTTTTTTCTTTGCCGTCCCACAGGTTTAATCTCTTTAAAGATAGATTCTGATTGGCTGCCATTGTTTACATCACAATCAGCTTCCAGAAGTGATTCCAAACATGGATAGACCCTTTTCAAAAGACTGTTATGACACGTTAAACGCTCATCAGCATCCTTAATCCTTGAAAGATTTAAATATTCTCATTTAAAAAAAACATTTGAACATTTGTCATGTATTTATGTATGTAGTATAACGTCTTCACATCAAATTACAAAAAACGAATTACCGCTGGTGTGAGGCGTTTGTAATGCAGAGTGTACGGAGGTGGGACTGTCAATTTGACTTTATTCTCGCTTCTGGCTACTATTTTTAGTCTCAATTTGATTTCTTTATTTGAATGTCTTGATAACACCATTGTGGAGTTTTACTTTCATTAATTCAGCAAATAGGATTGTAAAAAAGAAAAATGTTATTTCACCGCTGATACTACATAGTGTGCATCCCTAGATCACTGGAGTGTGTCAAAATTGCATCGATCAGCTGGTCTGTCTATGAGCTGACAAACGAGCGATCCGCTGATGGATCCACTGATATACGCGACTTTAAAATGCTACAGTAAACAAGGGATGCATAATATCTAGTTTCAGCATCGATATCTTAATGTGCGCATTGTTGATGGTCAGAAACGCAATAGGGATGAGCTAGGGCTAGGCGATATGGCAAAAATGCAATCTCAATAATTACTTTCCATATTGAACGATAACAATATATATTTAGATAGGGCTGGGTGATAAGACAAAAATGCAGTCTCGAATATTTTACATATTGAACAATAACGATATATATATTTTGAAAGGGCTGGGCGATATGGCAAAAATGCAATCTCGATGAATATTTTCTATACTAAACAATAACGATATATATTTCGTTAGGGCTGGCAGATATGGCAAAAATGCAATCTCGATAATTATTTTCCATATCGAATATTAACGTTAAATATTTCGTTAGGGCTGGGCGATATGGCAAAAATGCAATCTCGATAATTACTTTCCATATTGAATATTAACGTTAAATATTTCGTTAGGGCTGGCAGATATGGCAAAAATGCAATCTCGATAATTATTTTCCATATTGAATATTAACGTTAAATATTTCGTTAGGGCTGGGCGATATGGCAAAAATGCAATCTCGATATTGTTTTCCATATCGAATATTAACGTTAAATATTTCGTTAGGGCTGAGCGATATGGCAAAAATGCAATCTCGATAATTGTTTTCCATATCGAATATTAACGTTAAATATTTCGTTAGGGCTGGGCGATATGGCAAAAATGCAATCTCGATATTGTTTTCCATATCGAATATTAACGTTAAATATTTCGTTAGGGCTGGGCGATATGGCAAAAATGCAATCTCGATAATTATTTTCCATATTGAACGATAATGATATATATTTTGATAGGGCTGAGCGAAATGCCAAAAATGCAAAAAACGTGCTTTAAGTTTACCAGCTATGACGACTTCTGAAAACCCAGTAATGTGAAAAGGGTCCATTCTCTGTGAATGCATTGTAGACTTAAATTCAACTGGTCATCACAATTGTCCTTCTTAATCTGAACAGGCCTTTAATCACACACAAAAGTCACACCACTGTACTGATGTCCTCCGGTTCGTCCGGTTTCTTGGGTTTGCTGGGAAGCGATTTCAGATACTCAAGATGTCGTCTGGCATCTTCCTGGTTCTGCCGTACATAGTACACAACATAAGAGATAACCATCGCAAACCAGCCAAACATGGTCACCAACATGGCGTAGTCGGTGGTCCGTTTGGCCAGGTTGCACAAATCGGCGTCCACAGCCATGAACGGCTGGCCCTCCTGGTCTCTCAGCTCCGAGCTCCGGCACAGCACACGTTCGTGATTGTGCGCCATACCTCCCAACGCCTGCTGCAGCGCACAGTCGCAATGCCAAGGGTTATTGTCCACCACCACACGCGCCTTCAAACGCGCAAATGCATCCTTGTGCACGCTAGTGATCCTATTATATGACAAGTCCAATACCTCCAGAGAGCCCTCCAAACCAATGAACGCCCCCTCGCCTAGTGTTTCCACAGCATTATGGGATAGATTGAGTCTCCGTAGCATCCTCAAGCCATGAAATATGCGGTCGGGCACCAATGATATGTGGTTTCTGTCCAGCTGGAGTAATTGGGTGTCCGGTGGGACGTCGGGAGGGATCTCCTTCAAGCGAGAAAGGCTACAGGTGACGTTGAGGCCATGTGGGGGGCTTTCTGATCGCTGGCATGTGCAGCCTTTAGGACAGGTGCTGGCAGATGGAAAGCACAGGACCATAAGCACCAGGCTCTGGAGCAGCAGACACATGGGGATGGAGCGCGAAAGCCACAGGTCCAGCGGCGTCATGCTGACAGCCGGCCAACATACTCGACGCCGAGGCCGTTCACGGGAGCCCCATTGCGGGATGGCGCCGTCAGCAAGAGCTATGGGTCTCGGCAGCTCTCATCGTCTGTGTGAGCCTGCAGAGGGAGAGGACACAGTCAACTAGGGATGCAAAATGTACAGTTTCTATGCATAGCATCTGTAATGGTCATTATTGCAGTAGGGATGGAGGATATGGACTTAAAATGATATCACGGTATTCACTGCGATAACGATATTATATTATGGCACAAAAAAAGTCCTGCATCTTTAGGAAAAGTATTCTTTTTTATAGACAGACCTGCTGATCTATTTCTGTTTAATGGAGGGAAGATTGTTTCAGCACATTTCTAAGCATAATAGTTTTAAAAACCTATTTCAAATAACGGATTTATTTTATCTTTGCCATGATGACAGTAAATAATATTTTACTTGATAATTTTCAAGATACTTCTATACAGTTTAAAGTGACATTTAAAGGCTTAACTAGGTTAATAAGGTGAACTAGGCAGGTTAGGGTAATTAGGCAAGTTATTGTATAACGATGGTTGGTTCTGTAGATTATCAAAAAAAAATTTTGCTTAATTTTGTCCCAAAAATGGTTTTAAAAAAATTAATAACTGCTTTTACTCTAGCCGAAATAAAACAAATAAGACTTTCTCCAGAAGAAAAAATATTATCAGACATACTGTGAAAATTTCCTTGCTCTGTTAAAAATAATTTGGGAAATATTTAAAAAAATAAAATAAAATCAAAAGGGGGCTAATAATTCTGACTTCAACTGTATATTTTAATATTTAAAAATTTTTTTATATATATTTTTCATATATATAATGCAGACATCATATTTATAATTCATATATATATATATATATATATATATATATATATATATATATATATATATATATATATATATATATATATATATATATATATATATATATATATATATATATATATATATATATATATATATATATATATATATATATATATATATATATATATATATATATATATATATATATATATATATATATATATATATATATATATATATATATATATATATATATATATATATATATATATATATATATATATATATATATATATATATATATATATATATATATATATATATATATATATATATATATATATATATATATATATATATATATATATATATATATATATATATATATATATATATATATATATATATATATATATATATATATATATATATATATATATATATATATATATATATATATATATATATATATATATATATATATATATATATATATATATATATATATATATATATATATATATATATATATATATATATATATATATATATATATATATATATATATGTATATATATATAT